GCGTAAGAAAAGTGACACCTGAATGTGATGAGGCGTAATAATAATAATTAAATTTTGTCACGCTGATCTGTTCTGGAAATGGCACAACAATGGCGAAACTGTTTCAGATATACATCGCATTGAATTATTCAGAAGGAGATAATTTTGCGTAATGATTTCGGATGGCAGCCAGAATTTAGGAACAAGCCCGTATTTTTAGTGCCGACGTGTACAAAATTAGCTCGATACTACTTTCACAGTTTCTTCTTTTTAGGGTGGCGTGTACCAACAAAAAAAATCAAAACTAAATTAGTACGTACTGAAAATGTACCATAAATCATAGTGCAGTACCGACCTTAGAACAACTACTAGTGATCAAAAGTGGCTAAAAGCAATTTTCCCTCTTATTATATTGTTCATCACGTATTTGCATATCCAACCATATTAGTCAATTTCCACTATTTCACATTAGCACCTCTATCGCCAACTCGATCCCGCTGGTTAATTGTTCATAATAAATTAGTACATTTAAATATGCGTGGAATAAAATCGACATTTATTTGCGAAAATACCAATAATAATTGTTATTTGCATATAAACTAGTGTTTACGATCAATATTAATTTTATGCACCAGAAATAATTTTAGAATTAATTTATTAATAGTAATGTGAGCGTTGTATTATTTCCCTAAAGCAATTTATGATAATTTGTCGATTGTTTTTACAGAGTCGCCTTCGCGTTTCAGGACCTTTTGAACTGAAATTAACTCTTGATTAAAATCCGTTAAATTGGGAAACGTTTGAACATACATTTCGCATAGTGATTATATTAAAAAATGCGATTCGATGCTGTCTGTATGTGTTTAACTGTTTGCTAATAATTACTATTCCACTTTCAGAACAAACAGTATTGCATGCTAAATTTGTACAGGCAGATTCAACTGTAATAATCAATTCAAGTCTGCAAACATGTGTATACAAAATAGGAAAGATGGAAAGGAATCAATTATAAATGTTAAAAGGTCATGGTAGAAAGTCCCATTTCTTTTTCATGACGAGAGCACAATTGATGACCTGATTCATCGTAAATTTGTTCACAGAGAAATATCCTAAGTGACATATAAATCCGAACACCCAGTTTAAATGGTTTTATTTTAATAAAATTTTGTATAGGTACTTAATGAAGCATAATAAGTAAATGATAAAAATTTCAAAATGATTGCACTGCTTCAAAGCCCTTTGACCTTTAATAATGTGTGGATGCACCCTGATGTGCTACGCATTCTCCAACGCGCCTAGGCATGCTTCTGATCAGGTGGTAAATGTCCTCCTGTGGTATCTCATTCCAGGCAACCACCACCTCCTCTCGAAGTGCTTCTAGAGTCATGGTAACAATGTGACATCATTATGTTGAAAGAAGTCTATTGTGACTCTTGCAACATGTGGTCGGGCATTATCTTGTTGGAAAGTTGGATCTGCCAGGGTGTCAAGATAGGGTAAAAGATGGAGTTCTAGAACTTCGTGGATATAACGCTGCGCGTTCATGTTACCTCTGATGAAGATTAAAGGTGACCTGGAACCATAAGCTATAGCACCCCAAACCATAACTCCAACAGTGTGATGAACATGTCTTTCAACAAAAAACTGTGGATTCCTCCTTTCACCACGTCGCCTTCTAACCCTGGTACGACCATCGTGCATGCCTAAACAAAATCGAGACTCGTCACTAAAGACAATACTGTTCCATTCTTGATCCCAAAGTGACCGCTGTCTGCACCACTCAAGGCGATTACGTCTGCAAACCATTCATTTACAATGGACCTGGTAGTGGAGAAACGGCCCCTTAAGGCCAATAATCTTAGGCGGCGATCTTCACGGTCTGTTGTTCTACAGCGGCGTCCAGTGCCCCTTGCTCTTTGCGTACGGCCTTCTCGAAGCCATGGGTGACAACACCTAACCACAGTGTCTACACTTCTTTGCACTCTAACTGCAATTGCCCGAAAAGAAAGTCCAGCTTCCCGAAGTCCCACTATACGGCCCCTATCAAAGTCACTAAGTTGACGAAATCGTACAGGTCTCCGTACTCTAGGCATTGTAACCGATCGTAAAGGATGTCAAGAACCAAAATTCGCCAACGTTGATTCTTTACTGCGGCTGAAAATATTCATTTTTAGAGCGTTAGTGAATTAAAAAAAAGCAGTATAAAAACCGGAATGTCCAACTGAAAAGGCTGAACATTTTTTCACTTGTTATTTACAGTAAGATAAATACATTCACCAACTTTTATTAAAATAAAACCATTTAAACTGAGTGTTCGGATTTATATGTCACTTAGTATATAAATCTTCCATCATACCGTGTCTCGTGCTCTCATGAAATTTTGTTCTTAAATGTATCTTTTTTTTTTCCGAGCTTGGAAGATAAAACCTTGAAAGAATTGACTGTAAAAGCATAGGTACACGCAAGACCCCAAGTGAAAACTATAAAACGTCACACTGTTAACAATTGACCAGTATATACACATACACCGGTTTTGTCAAAATATAAAATTTGGACCAGTGCAAAAAGAAAATCTGATGAGTCTTCAGCTCGGAGACTACATACTACAACTGGTTCTTAGACCGTAGTGGCAGCTTTCGGAACCGCAACCTAACACTTATCACAGGTACCCTAGAACAGCCGTTCAATGTCACTGATGACTGAAAAGAGGAGTGACGTCACCGGGGAACATATGTTGTTTGTTAATTTTTCCTTACAGAATGGGTTATGGGATCATTTGATACAAAACCGGTAACAAAAATATCGGGTCTTCCCTACTCAAAATGTTTGAAAAATGCCACAAACCTGGACCACCAACGTACAGGTGGATAACTGCTAATTAGAACAATTACATCAGCCGCTCGACTATCGCGTTCCTTTCTATAAATACCATTTTAATTTACATCTCGTCTTTGAGACAGACAGGCAGCAAGTAACGAGTACAAGCGATTACCAAACCAACCATGCTAACATTACCGAAGCGGTAAGTGCATTTCGCAGATTTCAGCTTTGTCGGCGGTGACGTTAGACATCTAACAGCAATAGCACGACTTTAGGCCGGGAACTAGAGGCTTAACTTCCGAAAATCTAAAATACTGTTTGATATTTGCTTGAATATAAAAGATCGTTTTTCTTCTTATTACATTATTTATACATTTAAACGGCAATGTTATTAGAACGTCAGTTGTTTTAGGTGAGGTCAGAATTGGTGTTTCTGAAATCAGAAACCCTGCGGGTTGGAGTATAAATTATTATTGTATTTGGTACGAACAGTAGGATGCGTATCTTAACAGATTTACGGCCGTATACGCCAATTCGGCGTTTGCCAAACTGTTACTTATCAGTTTTACCTACAAAATATAGCAGTCTGTTAAGCAATACAGTGGACCTCCGGTAATCCCACAAACATGCAGATCAGTGTCGGACTATCGAATTTTTTGGATTATTCAGCACTGCCTAAGACTTATAGTCCGGAATTTTTTACAAAAGAGTACCTTGTAATCCGACAAATTACATATCCAATGGTAAGACTATGTATACATATATGTTATGTATATGTATGTACTTTCAAGTACAAATCATACATAGTTTATGTATGTCGAATTTAATAAATTAAATAACAATAGAGAGCTTACGTTTTATTATAAAATTAAGCATAAATGCACATACATATGTATCAAAATAATCAAGAATTATTAATCAAAATCATTAATGAATTTATCAAATTATGAAGCTTGGAAATATTCATCATTTTTTTTTTTTGTTTAAGGTTGTTATAACGCGAGATCAGAGCTTTGTCCCTCAGTCTTCTCAAAAGTAAAAGTTCGTTGTAGGATGTACCATTCTCTTCAGCCCATTGTATACCTAGCTCAAAGGCGTTAATTGCGTCTTGAGCTGTGACTTGTGGAGCAGTTGCAATCACGTCGTCGTTATTTTCCTGATTGTTTGTTGTATAATTAGAAACCTCTTTTATAATCTCTTCGTCAGACATGTCATGAAAAACATTTTCCTCTTTATCCATTCCACGGCACCAGATTTCCAAATCTTCCGGACTTATACGTGTTTCAGTAACGACTTGTTCTATAACTTCCAAAGTAACACTGATTTGTGGAACGTTGCTAGGAGTGGTGACTATACCTGGCCAGAACTTTTTCTAAGACGATTTAATAGTTGATTATGGTTACGCATTCCACCACTGACAAGAGCAAAATCCAAGTCTTTCACGCACGATAGCGGTGGAGCGTCCAAGTTGTAACCTGTTCAAACCTGCGTGATCTACATTAGCGAAGATTGTCAAATACGTATATATGTAATACATATTCAAAGACATGTCGGATTACAGGGGGCGCCGGATTAGACAGGGGCCGGATTATCGGGGGTCCACTGTAGTGGTATTCGCCAAGACTTTTAGGCTTCTGATAACAAACTGACTGTCATGCAAAAATCTTAAATTTCTTTAAGTTGGTGCCTCTTCACAAAAAACGAGAGAGCCACATCTAACCACACTTTATAGCTGCTGTGTGTTGTCATGTGGTTGTCATTCACAGTGTCAGTTCTGTAATGGTTTTGCATCATGGAAAAGTCTTAAAAAAAGATCAGCTAAATATACATCAAGAGACAATAATTCCCTTGGTTGAAAAATATCGAAGTATGATTGAAAACAAAAAGACTAACTTGGTGGTTAACAAGCAGAAAAATGAGTGTTGAGAGAAGCTTGCCTGGGTATTCCATTCAAACAACTGGCCTCAGAACTGACCAACAACTAAAAAGCAAAACAACCTAAATCTGAAGACAAGGTATCATTATTCTCACAGGATTTTGACAAAGAAACTAACTTTTTCTCTTTTTTCAGGAGAATTTGTTAAAAACGGATAGTGGGGTATCTATTCCTCGAACTACTATATCTGTTGAAAAAGTTTTAATCCCTTTAGTTATATTAAATAAGAGAGTGTATGAAGTATTTATCACTCAATTGAATTACTATGTTTGTTCCCATAAAGATACAAGTGCCGCTGATAACTTATAAGCAAAGATACTTATTGAATGTAATATACATAAAATAATCTCCATAAGAATTTTATTTTAAACGGGTAGACCTGGACCTGGATATCTTCAATTTGTTCCATTTCAGGTAAATTCTCAAAAAAATCGATAGTGTTATTTTGTTCTAAGCACATGTTGTGCAGCACAGCAGTTGCCACAATATCCTCACACATAGTTTCAAGTTTTAACCCCCATATCAAGATTTGGTTTTCTTTTGAATTGGCTGGTTCCTTTCATTTATCGGTTCTGTAACACTTTGCAATACAGTTTCCAGTCGCTTAAATGTATTTTTATTTATTCTAAATCTTCTCTTTTGAAGTCCAAATCATCTATTTCAGTTAAGGGAAACCTAGTTCTTACAATTCTTTCTCTCGGGATATCTTCAATGTCACTCGTGTCTATTTCCGAATATTCTAATATGTCGATAATATCATTTCTACGGAGGCTATCCATTTTGATACTTATACAAAACAAGCCCCTACTCGCTGTTTGCTGATTGTATTTGTAAATCACTTTTACGAAATCTCCAAGCAAAATAAAGTCGGGATGACACTTTTGACTTTTTAGTATTAAACAGTCAGTTAGTGGTTTACCAGTCCAACATCGCGCTGTTAACTTATCCATGACTTTAAGTTGATGGTGAATACTAAAATGGATTTAACAATGTGTTAAATAATTTAACAGTCTGTTAGAGAATGGTGAATACGGCCGTTACGACAAAAAGACTAACTTTATATTCAACAAACAGAAAAATGAGTGTTGGGAGAAGCTTGCGTGGGAATATAATTCCATACAAACAACTGGCCTCAGAACTGGCCAACAACTAAAAAGCTGGTACGAGCAAATGAAAAAAATTGCAAAACAACACAAATCTGAAGACAAGGTATTATCATTATTCTCACAGGATTTGGACAAAGAAATTAACTTGTTCTCTTTTGTCAGATGAATTTGTTGCAAACGGGGCGGCGGGATATCTATTCCTCGAACCACCACATTCGATGAAAAAGTTTTAATCCTTTTAAAAGACAATTACTTCACAATACCAAATAAATTTGACAGCAACAACTATGTTACCAAACCAGATGAAAGAAGAACCCCTAGAAAGCCCTCTGCTACTGGAAGTGGTGATCAGGAGAATATGGAGGAAAGCATAAATTTAGTATATGAAGATCACTTGACAAAGATTGGAGATGATCAAACGCAGATTCACCATGATGACATGCAGATTGATGATGATCAAATCATTAACAACATTATTCCAGATATTTTGGAAGAAGGCAGTGTAAATGAACCTCAATTAGGAAGTGCAAGTGAAGCAGAGGATAGTAAGTCAAAAAAAAGAAAATTTAATTCTGGAGCCCAATATCATTCCATAGACCCACTACAACATAAGCCTTTCAGTGGTCCGAGACCAGAAAAAATGGTTTCGAGTAAGCAAAGTAAAGTTATAGACATAAATAACAAAAAAGCTGAAATGTATGGTTTAAAAATTGAGGTATTAAAGACAATTTCAAAAACTGAACTGGAACATTTAAAAGGAGCAAAACTAGAAAATGACATTAAAGAACTCATTGAACAAAAGGAAATAGTTAACCTCAAAATGAAAAACATTGAATTAAAAAAATATGTCTCATTAAGCTAGGAGTGGCTGCTGTACAGAAATTGAAAGTTTTGTATGATATCCGTAGTGATATTCATGTGATGAATCTATAAAGAAGGTTTTAAGGAAAATGTTTATTTTGTAAAGATTTTGCATATATTAATGTGATGATTCAGCCGGTGTAAAGAAGTCCAGCGCTTTTATGCTGAATAGCAGTAGTCATAGAATGGTTTTTACATTTCACAACATTAACCAAAAGATCAAATATGAGAGTTATTTCATGGCTACTGCTGCCCAGCATAAAAGTACTGCACTTTATGTTAGCTGAATGGTCACATTGTCTCCATGTAATAGATATGTGTATGTTCACCACATATACTTTTTGTCCTTGAACAAGTTTTGTGATGTTATATTTAAGTTACATTTCTATGGTTTATAAATAAGTTGCAATAAAAGGTTGATGACATAACTTCAAGTTATATTTAATAAAAGTGTATGAAGTATTTACTACTAAGTTGAATTATTTCTGTTCCCATGTAGATACAACTTATAGGCAAAATGTCAAGTTATCTGTATCGAAAGTAAGATACTTAAAATTTCCATATGAATTTTATTTTAAACAGGTAGACACTTTGAATACATGACGTAAATCTTTACATTATAATTAATTTTTTCATGGCAATGTAAAAATTGCTGAAATTATTGAGTCTCTGGTTGCAGTATTTTGATATCCAATTCGGACCTGGATCTCTTCAATTTGTTCCATTTCAGGTCCATTCTCAAAAAAATCGATAGTGTCATTTTGTTCTAGGCACATGTTGTGCAGCACAGCAGTTGCCACAATAACCTCACACATGGTTTCAAGTTTTAGCCTCATACCTAGTGACAGGCATGGGAATCTTCTTTCCATACACCAAACAATCTTTCTACTGGGTTTCTGGTTTTAATTTGGGCATTATTGTACCGCTGTTGTGGTAACGTTTGAGGGTCTTGTAAGGGTGTTAATAAATACACTCTACAAGGATAACCTCCATCTCCAACCAGACAGTAGGGTGAAAATTCATTATTTTCAAAACGACCTCTTATATTTGAGTCATTGAATATTGTTGTGTCATGAACTGAACCAGGCCAACGTGCAACTATGTCCATTATTTTCAAACCGAAACTACCTATTATTTGTGTATTAATACTGAAATAACTTTTTCTGTTTCGAAATACTTCTGCGTTTTCACCTCCAGGTGACTGAATTTTGATGTGGGTGCAATCCACTGCTCCTAAAACAACATTGATATTTAGTTCATTGAAAATACATCTAAAATAATAATCATAGAACGAAAATAGTAGCGAACGTTACCTATAATTCCAGGCAATTGTGCTAGATTATAAAACCCAAGAACAACTGCCCTCCTTTGATCTTCTGTTTCTGGCATTGTAATAAATTGTGGCCGCAATGCAGCAATGTGTCTTGTTATTTTCTTTACTATTCTGGAAACGGTAGGCTGAGATACATTGAAAAGGTCAGCAACATTAATCTGGAAAGAACCTGTAGCAAAGAATCGAAGACATATCAAGATTTGGTTTGCTTTTGAGATTGGCTGGTTCCTTTCATTTATCGGTTCTATAACATTTTGCAATACATTTTCCAGTCGCCTAAATGTATTTTTATTTATTCTAAATCTTCTTTTGAACTCCAAATCATCTAGTTCAATCAGGGAAACCTCCTAGTTCTTACAATTCTTTCTCTCGGGATATCTTCAATGTCACTCGTGTCTGTTTCCGAAGATTCTAATATGTCGATAATATCAATTCTACTGAGGCTATCCATTTTGATACTTATACAAAACAAGCCCCTACTCGCTGTCCGCTGACTGTATTTGTAAATCACTTCTACGAAATCTCCAGGCAAAATAAAGTTGGGATGACACTTTTGACGTTTTAGAATTAAACAGTCAGTTAGTGGTTTACCAGTCCAACATCGCGCTGTTAACTTATCCATGACTTTAACAGACCGTTTGCTATGGTGAATACTAAAAATGGATTTAACAATGTGTTAAACAATTTAACAGTCTGTTAGGGAATGGTGAATACGGCCGTCAGTCACAGTTCTGTGTTAAATTATATTGTATTTGCCAATGTGTTAAAGATACACTTTTTTTTCGAGACATGAGATTGAGTTTCCATTGTAATTGGCGATGAAGTATTTGATCTAGAGACATTTTTTAATCGAAATGTCGTGTTTTCTGTCTGACTATGTCCATTTCTGTCGAATCTGATACCGTTTCAAGGACGAGATAACTTTGTGGATTTTGGAAATTGATCCCGCGTTGGTTGAATTATGACCGCAAAACCAAAAACTCGAGATTGTTAACAAAACTTTTCTCATTGGAGTTACTATCTGATCATTTTTCGCCGTTGTTAGAATATTTTTTGATCGGTACGATTTGTAGATTTCGGCGTTTTCTGGTCTCTGTAGAGCGTTATTAAGAAAATTCAAAATTGTGCATTCCTCATATTTGATTGTTATTAACGCTTAAATTTTTTTCCTACTTAAGTTATTCAATAGTTTTATATCAGTGTATGGAAGATACTCATTCAATCTACTTGACTTCATTTTTAAGGATATCTAAATTTTTATATTGCAAATCTGGTATATCTTTTCGCAACATACATATTTCATGATCAATACTTTCCACGAGTTTGGACTCTGCATTTTAGGCGAGTGTCACACGAATGGTATTTATTGTGATCGGACTATAAGTATTTACTTATTATTCCGCCACTGTCAGTAGATTTATACGCAATCTCATACGTCAATAACTACTGACGCTCTGGCTACAGTTTTTGTCGCTTTTGATGATTTCTGAACCTGAATTCACTGGACTATATAGCGAACGCATAAATTCCAGCGGTCCGTTACCTATCTGGGACATACGCTACTTCGGAGCAATTTAACAAACACAATCTATCGATAAACGTAAATTACCAACTGCATTTTATACAGCTGGTATAATTATTTTTTGATAGTGATATACAGTAGACGTGCAGCTTCCACTCAGAGGATTAGTATTGGCAGTTTCACAATAGTGAAGTCATTCTAGATCGAATCATATGATATTTGTGATTGCAGAAAATATCTATTTTCTTCACAACTGAAGGAAATCTGGCCTCCATGGCAGACGTAAAGCCACAGCCTAAGGTCAGGATGTATGAACGTTGTAGGACACTGCTCGTTCGTAGAGAACAAACACCAAAGATATACCTTTTAGAGGCAAAATATTGATGACCCGTAGACATGCAAATTTTGTAAAATCAGTTACTAGTATACGATAAACAAACCTAACAAAGACTACCATAAATACAGTGTAGCGAAATTTCATATCGTCGATGAATAATAATGAATTTTACTACCCCAGCCAGTGACCAGGAGGTATTGTAGGCGCGAAAAATTGTGAAAATAAGATATGTACATCACGATTAACCATGTCACTAATTTTCGTAGATCTGTCCGTCAGCCTGACTTTAACATGGAAAGTACTGGAATTTTGTGATGTTTGCACAGAAGGTTACTACTCTGCCAAAGACGGAGTTCTTTGGTATCAGTAAGAGGCGTCTAACTATCCAGACATTTGTAATCCCAGTAGTATTACCCACCTGTTTTACACAATATCGCACATCTAAGTCTGTCTGCAACAACAACTATCAACCTAGGTACTAGGAACGCGCGATATCTTTTACCTACGCGAGGTCCTACCCGAATTCAGCTTCGTCGACTGTGGATCAGCAGTCGTAGCCCTCTCCGACGGGCGACAATGTAATGATACCAGAGCATCCTAAAGTGGTCCAGACCATGAACATTCAGATCTGATTATATATTGCAATTTAACAATGCGGTTCAACATATAACATCACCTTCTGTAAGGGTTTACAGGGCCGCCCAATGGTAAAGATGCTCTACAACCTACGAAAGTGGACACATATACCTACATGGTGCATATTCAAAGTTCATATTTTTTTTAATCGGCGATTCTGTTTTTTACTGGTACTCAGGGCGCTGCGCTGTGTCATGGGGATACAGAATTTTCATTTAATGAGGGTGGAGGCCGCGTATTTTACCATTTGCCTCCGAGCACACAAAACTGAAGCCGGCCCTGCTGGTACTATTGTACTCTGTCTTATGTCAAGGTACAAGCATTTTCATAGCTGTCGAATAATAATACAGATACCAGAAAAAAGGTTGACTTAGATACGACAAATGATGCATATTCAAAGTCCATCTACTTGACGCCACTTTTAGGATATCTGTTAGTTTCATATACGTGGGTAACAGATTAGCTACACAACATTTAACAAATTTATCGATATCGAAAAATTATGCATTTTAGGAAACGTGATTGGAAAGTATCCGGCAGACTAAATCGAAAATGATAAACAAAATACCGTCGTCTCTTTCGTAAAACATCAACCGACAAATTGGTCAATAAAAAATTGTGTCAATTAGTAGTATTTATGAGTGCAATATAACAAGAAATTTTGTTGTTCCTACGCACATACCCAACAAAAAATATTTATCACCTTTCATATATTCGGTTTCTTGCAGATTTTAAAAACTGAACTGCAAATGGCAACAATTTATATTGCACTTTCTCTGTCTCTCTCCACATGATCTCTTGACATACATACCTGGGCGCGTTATGTATTTTATGATTTATGTTCATCACAAGATGTTCGTTTCGTCATAAAAGCTTTCTATATCTGGCTTTTAGGATTTAATGCAGTGGCAATTTTTTAAATGGATGTTGTCAATACGGCTAATCGGAGTTATAGGTTGGTCATTTTGTGGTATTTAACTGGAAATTAATAGATCTTCTGCTACCAATCAAAACTTAAACCAACGACCTCTTTTTCTGTACGATCAATCCGATCCACAACGTTGTTGACGACAGCACTCTACATGCAGGAATTCAGAGTGACAAACCGATTTAGGCCGGTGAGTTGGAGAGAAAAAGACTAGCAGCGACTTTTACGAGAGACCTGGAGGTTATCACTGCTTAGTGACGCAACAATCTGGTACAGTGTAATGCTTCCAAAACATAATACTTTACCGAGGACTGGGCTATTTGTTTGTGGCTAAGAAGTGATTTTCTCTACATCATTTCCTCACTCTGTGTGTGCAGCCTCGA